GCTCCGGGCGCCCCTCCCCGCCCTCCCCTGCCTCTTCTCTCCACCCTGTCTCTCATACTCTCTGCTCAGTGCCACTCTCGGAGCCACCCGGGGCCTGGCCCACCCCATCAGCAGCCAGCCCAGCTTCCCGCCTGTCACTGCCACTCCAACTCCAGTAAAAAGTGACGTCCCCCTAGTTCAGGATGCTGCAGGTAACGCACACGTGCCCTCTCACTAGTGTCTGTCGCCCCAGCCAACCCTCGAGGCCGGGGCTCAGGACCGAGCCTTTCTCTGTGGCCTCTGGGCCCAGGACAGGGACACCCCCTGCCCCTCACAGCCCAGCGCCATCAAGACCAGAGAGCCTAGTCTCCCACCCAAGGTCCGCTCCTCTCAGCTGCTGCTCAGACTGGGCAGGGCACAAGGTCGCCACCAGGGTCCCCTGGGATTCACCCCATCTCCGCAACTGGCCAGACCCCCAAGAGGCTGTGCCTGCCCCACCCCCAGCTTCCTAGGCCAGAGCCTGCCCCTTCTGGGCCTGGGAGCTCACCTGGCGCCTGGCACAGGGAGGCAGAAGGTGTTCTTGGGAAGGTTGCCAGAGCCTGGGACCTGCTCGATGTTCTGAGCGTCCCGACACCAGCCTGAACCCTCAACCGCGGAGCCAAGCAGGAAGAGGGGGCATTTGTGCCCAAGCCCCGCGCCGTGCACAATGGCAGAGCTGCCTCCTGGCCCACCCAGTGTCTGCTGCTCCTCACAGATGGACCTGCCCTCCCCTGTCCCTTGATGGAGTTGTCACCGGCTCTGCCTCTCCCTCCATTCATTCTCGCCTCACATTCTACCTGAGTGCCAGCCCCAGGTGTACGGCTGAGAGCAGGGCAGGGGGTTCCCCATGTGGAATGCAGCCCGTGAAAAGCTCCGTTGCCGGCATAACCAGATGGAGCCCTGTGACCTCACCCCCAAAGTAGCCCCTCCTCACCCACCTGGCTCTCCAGGCCCCAGGCCCTCCCTTGTCCTTCCAGGGCCCCCACCTCACTGCAGTCCTTGGTGTCTCTTCACCTGCTAAGGGTGGTGACTGGGTCCCGAATGGACAGTACAGCAGGGTGGTGCCATGGAGGCTGGCATTCCAGGCAGGTTCAGGGGGGTCTGGCAGGCAAGCCATGTGGGAAGAGCCTGGAGGATGTCCACCCCTCCTCCCCATGGGGCTAGGCCTGGGGCCTTCTCTGTTGTCTCTGGGGTGTGGGGCAGGGAGCACAGGTCTGCTGCCCCTTCCCCTGACTGCGCAGCCAAGGGGCTGGTCTCCCCTCCCGCTGCAGCTCTGAGGGTCGCTGTGCCCCCCAGAAACGGGGCACGACCACAGTCGATTGGACAGCCCTGGCCATGGGCATCCTGAGTGCAGGGAGGCAGATGGGGCTGGGGGTGGGCACAGATAGGCACCATCCACCACCGCCTGAGGCTGGCTCCAGTTCAGCCATCAGCAGAACTGCCTCTCCCAGCTCACTGGGCAGAGAACCCCAGCAAGACCTAAAGAACCTTCTGGTACCAAGGAGGTTCTGTCTGGTGCTCTCCGGGGCAAGGACTTACAGCCCGAGGGCGCTTGGCATCCCTTTGGCGAGTAGGCGGTCCCACACGCAGACCGGCGGGCCCCAGGGAAACTGGCTAGCAGCGGAGAAGGGGCGCCTGACCCTCGTTAGAGGCCACGCGTGATGGCGTCCTGGCCCCCGTCCAACTTGAGTAATTACGCTCCGACCTAGATTCCCCCTTCAGCTTCAATTAGCGCCGGGACGGCCCCCACTTCCCACCCAAACTGGCCAGGAAGCAGCCACCACATCCCCAGAGCCGCTCGCTCTGCACCGGGGCAGACGCCTGCGGTCACCTTGCAGACATGATGACGCAAGGG